AAGTTCAAACCATTCCCATTTTCCCCTTTTCTCCTTCACTTAATGCATGAAACAGGTATTACAAATAAGATGACATTCTTGGAGTCTATAGGAAGCAATTTTTCTATGCAAAACAGCTAACAGATAAGAGTCTCTATAACAATGAATATACCAACCATCAAGTCTTCCAGAGTGCAGACCACAGTAATTTGTCATACATATAATTTTGAAGTGTAACCGAAGGATAGTGTAGACTTCTCAAATATTCATGTTCTCACCATTTCCATTTATGATCACCAACTATATAATATCAAGCCATTCTTTGGTTGAGCTTATTTATTGTTTCACTTTTTTTGCAATATCCTACATGATGCCCCCTTATGCCATTTAAGTACCATAAAAGTAGTTCCAAATTCCTTTCAGAAGGAGGGCTCTGGTCACTAAGATGACTTTCAAAACACCATACTAGATCTATTGATTCTGTACCTTCTATATGTGATAATGTGATCAACAATAGTTTATCAGTTAATACCATAATGCACCGTCATTATTTTTCTAACAAATAAATGATTGGTTTCACCTATGTAGGCTGAATGGCAGAATCATTAACTTAAACTTATCCACACAGTTGTAATTTTCAAACATAACATCTAAAATGAAAATATATAAAACAAGTTATTTTACCAGTTTCCCTCTAATTTAAAAGATGACAAAAGCTTCTGTCTTTCAAAGCTAAGAAGGGGACCTGTATTGAGAAGATGTGGATTGCAGAAAGACACTTTATGACAAGGATAAAATTTGGTAATGCATGATAGATTGATAGTATATGCAACACATTCTTCGTTGCGGCAATCTCAGCCATATGATTAACTAGAAAGTTGAAGGCGATACTGCAAGGAAAAGAACAAGAACTTCAGGATTTATGAATAATAATTAGTACCTGCAGCAATTGCCTTTCCAGCTTCTGATGAAAATAACACAAAAAGAGAGCACAGCTCCTTGACATCCTGTGGTTGGAGGATGTTTGCCAATGGTGATCTTCAATAATGCGAAGTGACACTATTTAGCTTGTAAAAGGGGGAATGAAACAAAAATGGATGTTTCTGTTAATTACAAGAACTAAAATAAACACACTTCCTACTTGTATGTGAATTTTGAAGATCCTAATGACGCTGTATTAGCAATGCCAGAGGCAGGAACAGATAATGGAGAAGATGTGGCCAAGAAATCTCTTAGATGATTTTCCTGGTTGGAATTCGAGAGATATTAGTATCCAGTTTTCCCTTGAAAGAAGAGAGTAAACAAGCAAGCCAAATTTTGGTTGCATTGTGTAATCATTAAAATCTTAAAGCAGTTGAGACAAAATTAAGTGCCTTCTCTATTCATCCACAAAAACCATCCTTTGTGTCAATTTGTGAATATACCAAACAAAACAGATTATTCCCGACGAGAGAGCCAAAAAGTCCATCCATGAAATTAGTTCTCATTTAGATACCATCACTAATACAAAACCTGTGGTGCCTGATGGTAGTGGTGCCTATAAGACGATCACATAACATAAAAAGGCTGAAAAATAATCATTTTTCTATGAAGATTGCACAGATCCTATCAGTGTTCTTGATCAACCAAGATGACTTGTGCATATAATCAGAATTCAAGGAATTACCTGTTGCTGTTGAACAATTTTTTGAATTGATTGATTTTTCACCGCTAGACCAAATATGAGTTCTTCACTTTTTCTCTTCTTGGATGCCAAAGGAATCCCAAAGCCAGATGAACCAACAGCACCACTAATGGCTGCATATGCAGCCTGCTGTACATAAGCTATTGAATTATGGTCACCATGAACGAGAGCTCTTCTTTCTTCACTTCCGTCGAAGTTCTTGCAGTCCATGCACTTGCAATTTTCAGAGCATAAAATATTAGCTTGGAAGCACTCACAATACTTCTTGAGACAACCAGATTTCTTGCAATGACATCCTTTATTGTGCTTTCCGACCGTTTGGACATTATGTGCATCGTCCTAGATTTGTTTCAAGACAACAAGAAACTTTTAAAAGTCAACAAATTCAAATTTCCAATTTTCTATATAAACAAATACTTTGATTGGATCAATGACACAAACTTCAAGTAGAAAGAATAATTGATATATACTCGGGTTAACATTATTCTTCAATTTGAACCTCAAAGAAGGATATCAAAAGGGGGAAATCTTGACGGTCATGATAACATACCCTTGTATCCTGAGGTTTGTGGGGACTGCTGGCAATCTTCGGTCTAAATGCATTTGGATTGCGTTCTAAGGTTGCTACAACTGCTTCTTGCCTTGCTGCCTCATTCTCCACATTGTTATGGCAATTTACGCAATTGCAACCATTACAATAAATTCCAGAAGCAAAGCACTCACAGTACCTAATAATAACCAAAAACAAAAAGCTAAATTGTAACCAATAAATAAATGTAAGAAAAAGATGATAGACCAGAACCATGGAGCAATAAGTTTAAACGTACTTGCAAATACTGCTCCAATTTAAATAAGACAATTCATAATAGATCCTAAATACATGGTAAACAATAAAAAATTAAATTAGCTGACCCTTATTCCCATATGTAATGGGGTAAGGGGGAGGTAACAAAGATTGTTTCATATTCCCACTAGCAAGAGGAATATTATTGATGTGACTAAAATTTTTTCCTCAAAGAAAGCTTCAAATATACACTGAGAACAATGGATCATCTACCACAGACAGAAGAAAATAGATTAAGTAAAAGTCGACTGCAATTTGACAGGTCACTATTATCCAGACAATGTTTCCTACTGAAACAACTTAGCATTTCGCTTAGTCGGCACAAAAGATCAATGCCATAATAGCATGTAGCACTTTGATATGTATGACTTATAGATCAAACATCTAACTAGAAAGGTGACATAGAATCTAAATAAATATTAATGAACTTACAACTTCAAGCACCGAGAATTCTTGCAATTACACTGCTTCTGTTTCTTTGGTGTTCCATCTTTTGCTTCAGCATGTGCTCGTGGTCTGGACCTTGGAGACTCTTGCTTGCTGGACAAACAAGAGTTAAAAACAACATTATGCAACAAACACATTTCTAGTTGTACACAATGTTCTCACTATTGCCAAAAATGACCAGAAATGTCTCTTTAGACAGAAAAGACCAAAAAGCCAAACAGATCACACTGATCTCATAAAAAAATAGATTCTAAAATTAGACGAAAAATCCACGAAGAAGGATGAATCAGCTTTAGGATCAACCAAAACCTCATTCAAATCATCAACACGCTTATTTTCAAGAATTTTTTTTTTAAGGTATAAAAACGTTATAATTTTTTCCTAACAAAAAGAGGACATCTATAGTCTAGAGCGAACTTAAAGATTTAATGAAAAAACTACCTCAATTGAAATGTTTGCATCGGAAGCTTCTGAACTGGATGAGGCACCCGTTGCATGAGGGTAACCGACTGCGAAGGCGGCCGCCGTGTTTGAACTCGTGGCGTTGACGGTAACTGAGGTTTTAGTTGTGGCAGCGGCTGCGACTGCACCGTTTGCGGCTGTAAACTTAACATCAATTGCAGTTCCTGCGGTTGATGATGTGGCTTCGTTGGCAACGTCGTTTGTGATTGCCATTCCGGTTGAGGCTGCGACTGTAAATGCATCTGGTGATCCGGTGACTTCGCATTTCCCGACGCGCGACACCCCGCCGTGAAATCTAGTTGCCTCGCCAATTTCTTCGGTGTGAAATACGAAACCGTTTCTCCTTCCCCCATCTTTCAATCTTCATACCCAAAAAAAATAAAATTATTAAACAAATAACAGTAAATTAAATTGAAATTCAAAAAAAAATTAAAAAAAAATTGCAGAGTAATGAATTTTCCTTTCAGTTTACCGTTCAAATTTCCGTTAAAAAAAATAAAGTCAAAAGGAAAGCTTTGAAGAGTGAGGAAGCTAAGCCGCCATAGGCTTAGAGCTTTGTGCTTTTCTTTTATTCTTCTTCCTTCGGCCTTTGCTTTGCTTCAGTCCCTCTTTTTCTCTCTCAAAATCTTTAAATTTGAAATGTTGAGAAAAGTGGACGATTAGATTTGTTTTGGACTGAATCGGACAGCTGAAATTGAATCTTTTTATTGACGGATGAGATTTAGGAGAAGAGTCAGGAATGATTGAATACCGTTGGATTAGATATGTTTAGGGATTTTTTCTGGGAAAGTGAAGTGGAATTTGGCGCTAATGAAGTCCAAAAGCGATAGGATTCTTGTTTTATTGCAAACGTGTACGGTTAAGATTGCGTGGTTGTCTAAAACGGACGGACGATATTCTTGTAAAGCCTGCAAGAGGAAACGTTGTCGCTTGACCCATTTTCAAGGGACCCAATGAAGCAAATAAATTTAAATTTTTGGACTAAAGATATTTATTTCTTCAATTTGAATTCCTTTTTTATAGTTTGAACTTTCTAAAAAGCATAGAAAAAACCAGAAAAAAATGCAAATGTAAATATATAGTTTAATTCCACTAAAAGATTTTAAACTGAAGTCTAAATTTTAAATTTTAAATTATAACAAAAATTTTATCATCGTCTATATTTTAAATTAGGTTATCCATAAGATAACCATAAAACGTCATATTTAAATTATATATAAGATTAATACATACTTATTTATAATTCGATCAATATATTTTACATATATTTGACGTTAAATTTGAACTAACACTTACTGTTAAAATTAATAAATCAATAGTTGACAAAAAGATTTGAATGACTTAATTTGAACAATTTGAAGTTTTTATATCAATTTAAAATTTCAATCATATTTTCGATTTCAAAAGCTTTAAAGATCTATAATATAATTAAATCAACATATAATTAGGGGTGTTTAAATTCGAATGTCGGATATGATCCGATCTGAAAATCCAAATATCTAAAAAATCACATACCTGGGTATCTGAATCTGAATATAAAATTTAATTTGAAAACAAAATTAGATTCTATATTTTGTGACTTAGTGTAACTTATTCGATGCTTCAACTATATATATAATTACTCACACACAATAAATAATTAAATAATCTAGTTTTTATTGGGTTGTAGCTTTAATGGGTTAGTGAGTTACTCATTTATTGGGCTAAAGACTATTTAAAATCTAAAAGCCTATTTTTTTTTAATTTTCGGATAATCCAAAATTAAAATTTATCTTATCCATATTCAATCCAATTATCTAAATTTTTTTCGGATATTCGATCCGAATTATCTAAAAGTAAAAAAATGAATTAGATATCTGAAATTTTAGATTAGATCAACGGATCAGTTCTTTTTGTATACCCTTACATATAAGGATATAATTTAAATATGCTTAGTACAATCAAATTCAAACCTTTTTCAAAATGAGTCCTCGGAATGAAATAATCATTTTATAATGGGTATTTACAGTAATTTCGATACAAATAGTTGATTAATAAATTGATAGCAAGTTGTTACACTAAAAAATATATTAATTATTATTTTAAATTCACCTCAAATGGTAACTGTCAAAACCAAAGTCTCAGCTTAAAGAAAGTAAGGCCCTTCACTATTATAATCTTTGGTGTTTCTTGGAGAATTTAGAGCACTAACATGGCTGCTTGAATGGTTTTTTTTTTTTTTTTTTGGTTAGTGAGCACTAACGGGGAGATGTTTGAAGGACCAGAAAGAGAGGTAGAAGCAAGATATTAGAGCCCAAAATGCACAGCTTCATGAAGCTGTATCGGTTGCTGGAGTTGCAGCTGCCGTTGCAGCACTTGCAGCCTCGAATCCATTGGTACCGGAAACAGCAACTACTTGTTCCCAGACCTCTATTAACGAATCAACTGCTATGGCGTCAGTAGCAGCTCTTGTGGCTTCCCACTGCATTGAGATTGCAGAGAAATGGGAGCTGATCATGAACAAATCTTAACAGTGGTTAACTCTGCAATGAATGCAAGAACAAGTGGAGATATCATGACCCTAACAGCTGGAGCAGCCACAGGTTGTTCAAATCGCTTCAAAATTCTATTATCGGTCAACATTTCGTGTTTATAGTTGATTTCAGATGACTGTCAACTTAAATCTAACACATTTATGCAGCCTTGAGAGGCGCTGCCACACTAAGAGCAAGGCTGGGAAAGGGTACCACTTTTGCTCTAGGTGAGGAAAAGGGTGAAGGCGGCAACGAATTGCATGTCTCGAAAGCATTGAACTTCATCGCAACTGGGGAAGAAACACTCAAGCGCACAAGAAAAGGTACATACATTCAACACAAATCTTCTATCTGCAGTATTTGTTAACAAAATATTACATCTCATCACCATGTTGATGACAGGAGATCTACATTGGAAGCAAGTTTCTTTCTACATAAACTCAAACTGACAGGTATAACTATAAACAAATTCGAACTTGATTATATAGAAATTGTTCATTAATACATACACAGCAATTTTAGTAATGAAAACAGGTGGTGATTAAATTGAAAAGCAAAAATATGGCTGGCAGATACACTAAAAAGAAGTGTAAGCTAAGTCTCGTATTCGAATAGAATGTAAGTCGATTATCTTTGTTACTACTTCCTGTATTAACAGAGTTTACACTGATTTCCAGGTGTGATCTTTGGAGTTCATAGTGACATCCCCGCATGGACTAAAAGGGAGGTAGAAGGCAATTCCGAGCAGAGAGGTTACTTCGGGATTGAAACAGGCGATAGAATAACAGAAGTTGAGTACGAGAGTAATGGTGACAAACAGATGTGGATAGATGGGATCCAGTATATGTTGAACTGTCGTAACAATATAGCATATTTCTAAGAGAAACTAATCCGATTCATGGAAAACCTGGATTTTCATTTCTGCAAAGCAATCATGTTTGAATGTATATATCTGATTCACCGTGTACCGAGCTTAATTTGCTATTAAAAGCAACTTCTTCGATAGGATACCAGATACGCTTGCAGCATCTAAATTCTAAACAGAAAAATTGCTACTGCATTTCTATCAGGAATGAATCGACAGGGGTAGCAGCTATAATTATATGTGATCACTCGAGCTCCTTGAGGAAATCAATGTTATCAACAAAGACCTGCAGGACATGAAGAGAAAAGTTTAGGTATTCAAGTCACTTCGATAAATATAACCCTCAAAGACATACACTCCAAGATAAAATATCATTATTAGCCGTACTGATTTCCAGCCATCAGGGTCCAGGCAAACCGTAATCTTAGTGTTGATTCCCGCCAAGGGTCCAGGCTCGCGAATAACAGTTCCTCCAAATAGCTTAATTGCTTCTGCTGTCTTATAAACATCATCTGTGCCTATTGCTATCTGTTAATATACAAGACTTCAGTCTATTATGGCATAGAATAATCCAATTCACATGAAAGATGGTTAAACTAAAAAACATTGCAATAAAAAGTAGAAAGAGTCCACCTGCGCATAACCATTTCCTTTATCATATTCATTGACACCGTAGTTGTATGTCAATTCGAGCACTGCATTTTTATCTTCAGGACCATAGCCCAGCATGGCTGTCGTATACTGAAAAGTAGGCATAAATATTCGTAGAAACATAAAAAAAATGAGCAGATATGATCAAATATTCAAGATTTTGATGGTGATTAAAGGGTGAATCTTTACCTTGTACTCTGGGTTATCTTTTACTCGAAGAAGCTCCATGCCAAAGGCCTACAAGTCCAGGAACAAAGCTAGGGGTATAAGCATTTTAGAAGAAATTAAAGTTGCTAAACTTCAATAGAACAAAGGTTGTTTGACTCTGTAAAAAGCCACCAACCTTCTTGTAGAAATTAATAGATCGATCGAGATCACCGACTCGAAGCATTACTTGACAAAAGGGCTCAGGTGTAGGCTTCCTCTCTAAAAGTTCAAACGTATAGCCATCTGGATCTACGATATAAGCGATTATCGTATTCCCTCCTTTAACAGGGTCAGGTTCCCTTGTAACCTTTCCCCCCTTTGCCTTTACTAGATCCACTGTTTTTGAAGCCTACAAACAGCAGTTATTTGCATAAACAAAATGATTATAAAAAACAACGAGCTGAACCGAAAATGGATGACACTGAGCCGACAAAAATGCTGAAATTTTGCATGGCTTTTCCCTTGTCAATCATTACAGGCTATAGCTCTGCATGCATTGCCCATCAAACAGCAACTAAGTTTCTTTCTTTTCGAGTTTCTGCTAATGGTATGCACAAGAAGATGTAGTTGAAGAAAGAGCTTACATCGTCTACAGCAATACCAAAATGACCAAATCCGTTCCCAATATCATACCTATCAACTCCATAATCTGCAAATTATAACACAAAAGCATATTAGTGTATAGATCGAACCTATTTAGTATGCAAAAGTATGAATCACTAATCAGTACTTCAGAGGTGAGGTAGACGTATAATCATATTGACATATACTACATGAGATAATCACTCACTGTAAGTAAGTTCAACAGCAAAATGAGAATCTTCAGGTCCATATCCAAGAAAAGCATTTGAATATTGCTCCTCGGGTATGTCACGTTTCCTTAACACCTTCATTCCTAAGCATTCAGCGTAAAACCTGCAGCTTGATAAAAGGATTAGCCATCTGAATATGATCCAGAATCACTGAATAGTATGTCCGGTCAATGAGAAAGCATACTTTATAGTCTTCTCTAAATCTCCAACACGGTAAACAACATGAAGCATTCTTCTATTGTCCTTTTTAACCCAATTTAATGCATCTTGCTCCTTAAAAGCAGTAGCTATGTTTTCAGATTTACCATCCTCAATTGAGTTTCGTTCTGCTCCAAATAATTTAGCCGCATTTGCACCAAGCAATTGTGACTGAGGGATAGCTGAAAAACAAGCACCGAAGCTCCATTACGAGCATTAATGAAATAATCCATTGATGCATTAGCTTAACAAGGGTCTAAAAAAGGGATTAAACCAAACATCAAATCCGCAGCACTGTGTTTCATCAAGATCATCAAGAAGACAAGAAAACATGTACAGAACAACTTAAATGATCAATCCTCGAGCTCAAGGAACTGTATTGAGAACTTAAACAACCACAAAACTCAATGAAAGCTATCACATTGTAAGCAATATCAATACAAATTCAGTTTCTTTTTGTCATTTCCCTAGTTCTTTTCCAACAGGGTTGAAAATTCTATTACAAAACATAAACAAAAGCATGAAAGAGACATAGGTTTTAGAGCTTTTACCTGTGCCGAGTTGAAATAGAGCGAGCCTTCGAGAAGGATGGTGATTGTAACAGTTATGAATACAGCAATGCTTGAGAGAGTTTGATTGGAAAGAAGGTGTTTTCATTGAGAAAACCATGGTGGAAGCTGATGCAAAAGGCAATGTTGACATCAGCATATTTTCTTTGTAATTTTACCTTTTTTCCTTATCCAGTTCTAGTTCATGGTCCGACCACAAAGTCCTTGGAGAAGACATGAACGAACGAGGGCCTTGTGTTTTGTAATAAACTCGATCTCTAGTTCTCTAATTTTGTGCGTCAGGTTTTTTATTTGTCTTCACGTGAGGGTTTTTATATAATGGGCTTTGAGGTTTAAAGGACTTTGCTAGTGTAAAAATGGTACGTTCTTTAGATATCTGGGTAATCAATTCATGGGCTTGAGCTCTAACATTTCAACCATACAAGAATTTGCATCAAAATCAATAATTACATTCATGTATTATAAAATTAGGATATACTTAGATAATTTTATTATTCGGTCTGATATCTTAAAATTTTTATAATCTCTTATTTTATTAATCTCATCCACAATATGATTTATAACTGATCCATGTTATTTTGAAATTTTAGAATTCAGAGGGGATTATGGTCAATATCTCATTTTGCAGCTATATTGGCCTAAAACATCCATGGAAACCATATGGAACTCTTAATGGCAAGGTGATTTTGGCTACAGGCTTGCTGGTAAAGCTCTTTGCTTCAATGATAAGGACCTGTTTGCAATTTAAAAAATAAAATAAAATAAATGAATAACACTTATGTCCAAAAATAGATATATTATTCAGCAGCTTAAAATCAGCAATTACTTGAGATATATTGGTATCTTCATTGTGAACAAACGTGATAGCCCAACCATCATCTTCTTCAACACCTTTGTCTTTAGGGACAAATGCAGCTCCACTGCAGAAAGTGTTCTTCTCAAACATATGATATTCCACCTTTTCAACCCTTGATTTTCTCCCTAGTTTCAACATCAAAGATGGATGATGTTAGTTAACCGACAGATAGCTGATGAAAGAAGTAGAGTGTTGTTAGTTGATAATATAAATTATCAAATTGTAACAATTCAAAGTTGAGTGATCAAAATCTGCAGAAAATGAAACAAAAGTCATCTCTACAATAGTTTACCTTTTTTTATCCCACGTGGCAATGCAATTCGCAATTTTGAGCTCTCGTTCCAATTTGTAAAGTTAATCACGTTGAGCTTGAAAAAGCAATGGAGATCCATAGGGAAGACGGGTGCACACACAACCGGTTGGGTCTCATTTCACCTAATAAAAAATTACTTAAAGTCTAAATATTAAATAAACCAACTGATGTAATTAAATAAACACTAACTAAAGATGAATTACTAACCTGCCGAATAAATGATCACATCGACACCTGCCGCTAAATCCAAATTCCATAGATCATATGTAACTCAAACCAATAACTCGCGTCATTCTCAAACAAAGGAAGGTATATTCCAAACTATTTCTACGTTCTTATACTGCCAACAAATAAATTATCCTTTTATTTTCTTATTCCAAATTGTCTATTTCTAGAGTTTTCTCGTCCATATAATTAATATATATTTTTAATTCTAAAATCGGTAAATCTAAACAATATGATGTAATTAATATTTGTGCACAAGACAAAAGAAGTAATATGAGTTAATCCTTGGGTAGAATATTCGGACCTAAAACAATAACAAGTTAAGATTTGCACAACAGACAAAATGGAGTTTTTAACCACTGTGATATTTCGATTCGTTCAAAGTTTTTGGTTTATTGTTTTATTTTGGCTAAAACTATAATTAATAATTAAGTTAAATTTATTTATAATTATAGTAGATAAAAATTACTTTATAATTAAATTTATTTAATAAAGTAAATATTTATTTTAGATAAGAATTTTTATGAAATAAATTTTTGATGTTTAAGTATTTGATTCTATAAATAGTGATAATGTTTTAACCATTAGAATTATGTGAGAAAAATATTTTGGAGAGATATAATCCTTTTTGGGATCCATGTTTATGTTGCAGAGGTAGTTTTGTAAGGTTATTGAGAGTTTTTTGATACACCGAGTCATCATGTATTTGTATTATCTGTGTTCTCTATGTTTATAATGGATTATTTTTCATCTCGCATATGAAGGTAAGTAAGGTTGAACCACGTTAAATTTCGTCTTTTGTGCATGTATTATTTTATGTTAATATCGCTTTGGTTGTTTTTTCACTATCAAATTCCTAAGAAATAGTATTGGAGCTATGATTTGGGCTGTAAAATTTTGAATAAATTTATAATTACGGATTTTTGTTAGTGATTTTGGAGACATGCAATAGGATGTAATTCGCTTGCTTCAATGGAGTTTATATAAAAATTAAAATTGTTGAAGGCTTGGTGGCAGTGCTTCAACAAATACGCGACTTACGTAAAGATTGAACTTGTTGAAAACTTAAAACCAATTTTTGATGAAATTTGGGTTAAGGGAAAATTTTGTTATATTTTGACCCAAATTATAATTGATAATTAAATTGAGTTTATTATAATTCTAGTGGTTGAAGATTATTTAGCAATTACGTTTATAAATAATTATTTTAGGCAAAAATAAGGATTATTGGTGATTAAATATTTTGCTCTAATATTTTAACATTTAGAATTATGTGAGAGATAATTATTTTGGAGATATGTATTTTTTTTAGATTTCTGCAACTTTTGAGGTTTATATTGCAAATATAGTTTTGTATGGATATTAAGAGTTTTTGGGATACACTGAGTTTATACCGGATTTTGAAATACATGTGATATCATTTACTTGTACTCTTATTATTCTTTACATTTATAGTGAATTATTGTTCAACTCGCTCGTAAAGATAGATAAAGTTGAATCATGTTAAATCTCATCTATTATGCATATCTTATTTTATGTCGATATCGCTTTAATTGTTTTATGTTAATATAGCTTTGATTATTTTTGTGCTCTCAAATTCATAACATTTATCTATGAAAAATTTAACTCAAAAGTTAAAATCTCATCAATTGATCTTAATTTAGATTTAACTTAATTCAAAAGAGTCAATAATTTAAATTTAATAAATTAAATTAAAAAATCGTTTGAAAATGAACAAAACATAAAGCAGGATGATCATTTAACCCGACTTCAATAATTCTAATTTAACACAAATTTAGGTCAAGATCTTTTATTGAAAATTTGAGTTCGGTTTAGAATGAAAATATTTGATTAAATTTAGCCCAAAGATAATAAAATAATTGATCTTTATATATTTAGAAATAATTGTTATACTGTCATTCTCTATGTATATTTTCAATTAGCTTCATACTTTACCTAATAAAAATGAGATGTATATATTTGATAAGGTCGGTTGTGAGTTTTTATCTCAAAAATCGGTTGAGATTTTAGAGTGGGGTGAAAATTCCCTAAGCACGGGTGACAAGTGGAGAGATGTTATATTCAAATCGAGTTTGGATATATAAAAGTTTGATCCGCCTCGATCCATGACAACCTCTAATCTAGGGTGATTCAAACCTAAATTGGTCTGAATTTGGGTGTCGAACCCAAATTCAAATGACTCGAATACGAAAACTCATTTGACAATTTTTTTTTTTAAAAAATAAACCTTAAATTATCTAAATAAAAAATATCCAAAACAAAAGAAGATTAATTAACCCTAAAGATTATACATTTAAGTATCAGATTGTTAATTAAGCCTAAGGGTGAGTTTGGTTCACGGAATGTAAGATTACCAGTGGGAATAAGATTACCAGTGGGAATAGGATTACCGACGGGAATAAGATTACTAGGAATGTTATATTTTGTGTTTGGATCGTTTAGCATGAATTTAAGATTACATTGTTTGGTTAAAAGAATAAAAGATTATTGAAATATATATTTTACCAGATTATCCTTATTATATATATATTTTTTAACAAGTTGAATTCTACTATAATATTACTATAATTAATTTATATATTTTTCTTAAAAAAATTAAATTCTTAAAATTCATATAAATTTTTTTTACAAAATTGAGAAGATAAATGGTTTAATGAAAGGGTAAAATTTTATTTTAACCCCTAAACTTCTTATAAAAATCTAATTATGAATTTTTTTTTTTTTGTAAATCTAAAATAGTTTAAGGATAAATTTATAATTTAACTTTCGTAGAATTTTTATTATTCAACGACTGAAGAAGGATATTTTTGAAGAAAAAAATTAAGGGCATTTTAGTTCAAAACTCCGGTAATCCAACAAAAGAACGGAGTAATCACATTCTCGGTAATATACCCCAAAATATCATTGTTGGTAATATAAAATTACCAAAGAATAAGATTACTGACCAACCAAACGATAGAATGACATTCTATTTCCTCGGTAATCTCATATTAGTTAATCCAAACACCCCTAAAGATTAATTAAAAACTCCGTTCGCAATTGGGAGTGACAACATCGTAGCTTCTCTATATATTATTGGTTCAAAAAGTGTCCAAACTATGAAACAGATAACATAGAGATCAAATGGCATCTTCTTGTTCGCCGTTTCACGTCCATTGCTCTGCTCAAAAGCCTTCAATATCATCACCCAACTTCGATCACTTGAAATCCACACTTTTATCTGCGTTCAAGGTCAGTTTTCTTGTAATTGAAAACCCAGAACTCTTTCATTTTTCTCATTGATTTTGTTGTTTGGGCAGCCATTTTTGAAAGAAATACAGCAACTTCCATTGCGAATAGATGCGGGTGTAAAGAACACTCGTCTCAAGCTTGTCGACGCATTTGTTGATTCCGTGTTCGAGTTCGTTGATCAGCCATTGCTCCCATCTCAGGTAGTATACATACGGGTCAATCCGTGTTGGGTTTAAGATCATTTTGAATTCGAGTCATTTCGAATTTACGATGGATAATGTCATGTAACAGAGTAATTTTGCGCCAGTAGATGAGTTAAAAGAAGGCGTTCAAGTCAGCAACATTGAAGGGGAAATACCAGATGGTTTTGCAGAAGGTGTCTACATGAGAAACGGTCTGTCATTCATATAATCACTTTATTATTCCAATATTTGTCTGAATTTGAGTTAAATTTTAGGAGGAATACAACCTTCCAAGCGACGGTATCTTTTAGGACGAAAACATGTGTCAAAATACGCTGCTATTCCCTGTGTTTTGACAAAGTTTGAGATTTAATCATCATACACTGGTATTTTTTACTAAAAAGTTTTAGTTCAATTAATACTGAAGTTGGTTTGATTGCATAGGTATACCATCATCGAATTTTGATTAAAATTGGTCAACTTGTGTACAGGATCCTTATATCATACATTTTTGACGAATTTAATCCTACCTACTACAATTTGATAATTTCTAATCATATCCTCTGCTTTTACGAAAAATGTATTTTTAGTCCTCAGCCTAATATGTAAATGCATCTTTTGACATATGTATTAACCGAATTGGAGAAGCATGTTTTATATGTCGTTTGAATCTCAAGGATACTTTCTTACAAGACACCAACTAAAAACATTGACCAAAAGGCTAAGTTGGTCTGATCCGACATGTAATGCCTGCACCTTTGTTTTTGGTGACGATTATAATTTGTAAAGACGTGATAGAAATAACCACAGAAAATTCAACCATTATTCTAATCAACAAAAAGAAAATCCCTCAAATTCAACTTTGGTTTTGTGCTATGAATCGGTAGAATCTTACTATTTTGTATTTGAAGTTGATGCTTCTCATTACAGTCCAAAAGTTAAATTCTATGATGTGGTCTCATTGGATAATACTAGTTTTTGTTCTTCTTAATTGTCTATAATTCAATTTCAACCCTTCAAAATTAAATTTATAGCTTTGCCCCCAAATGTTTTTAATTTCATTTTGGTCTCCCATACTAAATAAGTCAACAATTGAACTCAAAAGCTCGAACTTCGTTAAAACACAGGGACTAGCAACATATTTTAACCCTTATAATTCAATTGTGATTGTGAACAGGAATACTTCTCAATAGGTCCTTGGTTATTGCAATAATTGTAGGATCAAACCCCATGTTTGGAGCATTAACATCGACAAGTTCCATGTTTGGGAGCTCAAGTTACACTTGGATAGAAGGAGAAGGAATGCTTCATGCTTTATATTTCTGCAACGGTCTTGACGGAGGCTGGACCGTTGTTTACAAAAACAGATATGTCGAAACCGACACGTTCAAGCTCGAAAAACAACGGAATAAACCGTCGTTCCTACCGGCCATTGAAGGGGATTCACCGGCTGTTTTGTCTGCTTATTTGTTTAACATGGTGGGATTGGCTTATCCTTCCTGATTTTTCAGATTTTTACTTAATTGGTACGCGGGGACATTAAAATCTCTAAAACTATCAGATTTCGACTCACCCTGACCTTATAATAATCATACTTGGTTTCCTCGTCATCCCTATTCATAGAATCTGTTATCTCTTAAGCTGCAATGACGTGTGGCTTTTAAAGTGTTTGATCCAATTTACAATTTGTCTCAGTTGAGATTTGGTAAAGTAAACAAAGATATGAGTAATACCAATGTGTTTGAGCATGCCGGGAAGACGTACTCAATTGCTGAAAACCACGTACCTCAAGAGATCAACATCCTTTCACTACAAACTTTGGATGATTGGGATGTTAATGGAGCTTGGAACAGGCCATTTTGCTCTCATCCAAAGGTTCTTTCTCTTTCCCTACACTGATTATATACATAACTCATGATCTGACTCGACTTAAATACCATTCATTTAGAGATTTGATCTGACTTGACTCTCAACAGTAAACACCTGAGGATTTAGACGAATATATATCTCATCTTTGCTACGTTAATTTATTCTGCAACAGAAAGCTCCAGGCAGTGGGGAGTTAGTTATTATGGGGATTGATGCAACTAAGCCTTTTGCTGAATTGGGAGTAATTTCAGGTTTGTTTTTTTTTTTTTTTTTCATCTTTTGCTTTTAGCTGAGCTTGGCCAGTTGCCACCTTCTAAAGTGTGTTCATTTACTATAGAAGATGGACAGAAATTGCTCCACAAAGCTGATCTGAAATTAGATAGATGCATCCTATGCCATGAAATCGGAGTTACGCAGAGGTAAACTAATTTAAAATGAGTCATTATTTGAAGATGTTCGATGAATTAAATTTAAAAGACGAATATAACACACTATAAATACTCGTGTGTGATATTTATTTTCACACATTAAAATCTGAGGTGGATTTTCCTTTTGCAAGGTACAACGTATTTATGGACCAGCCTTTATCGTTGGACTTGAAGAGGCTTGTTGGTGGTGGCCCGTGAGTTCAATTCTTTATACAAAATTGTCCTTTTTGAAGCTTAATTCTTCTAAAAGATTGCCAATGTTGTCATGTAGATTAATAAAATATTTAAAAGAAGGAAATGCAAGAATCGGCATAATGCCTCGTTACGGTGATGCAGATTCGATTCAGTGGTTTACGGTTAAACCCAACTGCACATTTCATCTCTTCAATAGTTTTGAAGATGGCGACGAGGTAAAAACTATAGCCGGAATCACTGTAAATTTCAACTTTCTTACTGCACTGATATTAGGGATATTAAAGGGACTTTAAAACGAATTTTCCCTTTTTAAGAGGACATGCAGTAGCTTCATCCCTGCATGCACATTCAACTTCGCCTCGGATTCTGCCGTCCCTAAATGATAAATATAACAAAATGTCCTTGTTTTAACTTCCAACAGGTTGTGGTATGGGGATGCAGAGCTCTTGAATCAGTAATTCCAGGGCCTGAAAAGGGAAAGAACAAATTTGATTGGTTCTCGAGAAAATTCAGGCCTTTAAACTCCACCGGAGGAAGCATTGATTCAGTATCAGAAGACCAATTAGTGTTTCCTCGTCCTTATGAATGGCGAATGAACATGCAAACTGGTGATGTAAAGGAGAGGAATCTAACAGGGACTGATTTTGCCCTTGATTTTCCATTTATTAATGAAGCTTTCATAGGACTTGAAAACAAGTATGGGTATTCCCAAGTACGTGATTCCATTGCAAGTTCTGCATCAGGTAAGTCAGCCATAAAATAGTTCCACAGCTTATACTTTCACTATGGTCAAATTAAGCTTATAGTCCCTCTATTCCAGGCATGGCAAAATATGGAGGTCTTGCAAAGCTGTATTTTGGAGAGCAGAACCCTGAATCTTACTTGGTATTTGAATTAGGTCCCTCAAATTTTCTTTTCTAATTCTGTTCATCAGCTATCTGTCGGTTAACTAACATCATCCATTTTTTATGTTGAAACTAGGGAGAAAATCTAGGGTTGAAAAAGGTGGAATATCATATGTTTGAGAAGAACACTTTCTGCAGTGGAGCTGCATTTGTCCCTAAAGACAAAGGTGTTGAAGAAGATGATGGTTGGGTTATCACGTTTGTTCACAATGAAGATACCAATATATCTCAAGTAATTGCTGATTTTAAGCTGCTGAATAATAAATCTATTTTTGGACATAAGTGTTATTCATTTATTTTATTTTATTTTTTAAATTGCAAACAGGTCCTTATCATTGAAGCAAAGAGCTTTACCAGCAAGCCTGTAGCCAAAATCACCTTGGCATTTAGAGTTCCATATGGTTTCCATGGAGTTTTTAGGCCAATGCAACTCCAAAATGAGATCTTGACCGTGATCCCCTCTTTGAATTCTAAAATGTTAAATAACATGGATCAATCATAAATCGTCGGTAAATTCTTCAAGATTTTGGGAATGTAAAGCACTTGAATTCCAAGTTATATCATTTGTAAATTCGATATGTATAATAGAATTATCTAGATATATTCTAGTTTTATAATCTAACTATTTTATAATATATTGTTGAAAGTATTAAAATGGTTTTCAAGTTTGGTAACCAACTTTGAAAAAATAGTTTTCAAAGTTTGGTAAATGTTTCTTTGAAAATAGTTTTCAAAGTTTGGTAAATATTTCTTTGAAAAATAGTTTTTCAAAGTTTGGTAGATGTTTGTTGAAAAATGATAATGGGATAATCATAATTAATACCTAGGCTTTAGGGTATTTACAAGATTAAGTCATTAAGCTTCAACTATAAATACTTTAGCTCATTTAGCTTCAAAACTATTCCAAAAATAATTTCTTTCTCCCAATACTAGAGAGCTTTCTTGTGAGTAGTGAGTGTTTTGTTACAGCAGTCAGCAGTTCGTCGGGAAACAACAAATTAAAATTCGACGATGTTCGAGATCTGGTACTGAGCGAAGAAATTCGACGGAGAGAATCGGGTGAAGCATCAACCTCCTCAGCCTTGCACACGGAGTCCAGAGGGAGAACTTCAGAAAGAAATTCAAATCGTGGTAGATCGAAATCCAGAAGGGGAAAATCAAGAACAAGAAATAAAGATTTTACCTGTTATAATTGCGGCAAGAAGGGCCACTTCAAAAGAGATTGTCGAGCACCGAAGAAAAATACCGGCGCACAGGAATCTGCCAACATGACGGAGGAGACAGGTGATGCTATGATTTTAAGAGTCAACAGTCCGATTGAATCATGTATTTTGGATCCAGGGGCATCTTTCCACTCCACGCCATGCTAAGAAATCATGGAGAACTATGTCAGTGGTGATTTTGGGAAGGTTCATCTTGCTGATGATGAAACCTTGAAGATCGTCGGAAAAGGAGACATCCGAATAAAGCTGCCAAACCAGACCACCTAGAAGCTGACAGGAGTGAGACATATTCCTGGTCTCAAAAGAAATTTGATTTCTGTAGGACAGCTTGATAGAGAAGGATACAGTACAACCTTTTCAGGCTGTGAATGGAAGATTACCAAAGGAGCACTCGTCATTGCTCGTAGTAAGAAGACTGATACTCTCTATGTAACCTCAAATTTAGAGAATATCATTGCAGTAGCAGATGTTGATGGAAAATCAAACCTATGGCACCAAAGGCTTGGCCATATGAGCGAGAAAGAAATGAAGATACTTCTGTCAAAAGGGAAGATGCCGGATCTAAAGAATGTAGATGTCGGACTATGCGAGGATTGCATCTTTGGCAAACAAAAGAAAGTCAGTTTTGCAAAGATTGGCAAGACACCCAAGGCAGAAAGGTTAGAATTGGTTCATATTGATGTATGGGGACCATCCCCAGTTTCATCTCTTACAGGCTCACTATATTATGTCACCTTCATCGATGATTCAACAAGGAAGGTGTGGGTTTATTTTCTGAAGAAGAAATCAGAAGTTTTCGATACCTTCAGAAAATGGAAGGCCATGGTGGAAAATGAGACTGGTTTAAAAGTCAAGCGATTGAGGTCTGACAATGGAGGAGAGTACAGAGATAGTAGATTCAGAGATTTCTGCGCAAACAATGGGATCAAGATGGAGACAACAGTTCCCATAACACCGCAGCAGAATGGCGTAGCAGAGCGCATGAACAGAACTCTGAATGAACGTGCCAGAAGCATGAGGATACATGCCGGATTGCCCAAATTTCTATGGGCTGAAGCTATCAACACTGCAGCTTACCTGATCAACTGTGGGCCCTCAGTTCCTTTGGATGGCGGAATACCAGAGGAAGCTTGGAGCAAGAAAGAAATAAACCTTTCACACTTAAGAGTGTTTTGGTTGTATTTCTTATGTACACATAAACTCTGCTGAAAGAAGTAAACTTGATGCCAAGTCCAACAAATGCGTATTTGTTGGTTACGGTGGTGATGAGTTTGGTTACCGGTTTTGGGACTACGAAAATCGGAAGATCATTAGAAGCAGAGACGTCATTTTTAATGAAAATGTGATGTACAAAGACAGGTCAACCGCAGAATCAAGTAATACCGAAGCTGAAACAAAGGAATTTGCTGAGTTCGAGGAGATTTCTGGAAATGATGTTCAGATCAGTCCTGAAGCAGTTCAAGAGGAAAAACCAGGCACACCAGAACTAAGACGCTCCTCCAGAATTCCTAAACCAACCCAACGGTATTCTCCTTCTTTGCACTACTTGTTGCTGACTGATAATGGTGAACCAGAGTGCTATGATGAAGCAATGCAAGTGGAGGATTCAGTCAAGTGGGAGTCTTCCATGAAAGATGAGATGGACTCGCTTATGTCAAATCAGACGTGAGAATTAGCTGAATTACCACCAGGCAAGAAAGCGCTTCACAACAAGTGGATTTACAGGATCAAAGAAGAGCACGATGGGAGCAAACGCTACAAAGCGAGATTGGTTGTCAAAGGTTTTCAGCAAAAAGAAGGTATTGACTACAATGAAATTTTCTCTCCAGTCGTGGAATTGTCTACAATCAGACTGGTGTTGAAAATTGTAGCTGCAGAGAATTTACATCTTGAGTAGTTAGATGTAAAGACAGCTTTCCTTCATGGTGATTTGGAGGAAGAAATCTATATGAGGCAGCCAGAAGGCTTCATAGAGGCAGGCAAGAAAAACCTGGTATGCAGGTTGAAGAAGAGCTTGTATGGTTTAAAACAAGCTCCTAGACAGTGGTACAAGAAGTTCGATAGTTTCATGAGTAGCAGTGGTTTTACCAGATGCCAAGCAGATCATTTTTGCTACATCAAGAGGTTCGACAATAACTTCATTATTTTATTGTTGTACGTTGATGACATGCTCGTTGCAGGCTCAGACATGCAAGAGATTATAAACTTGAAGCAAAAATTGTCAAAGCAGTTTGCTATGAAGGATCTGGGCGCTGCAAAGCAGATTCTTGGGATGAGGATCAAGAGAGACACAAAGTCGGGGACTTTAATATTATCACAGGCTGAGTACATCAACAAAGTGCTCTCCAGGTTCAACATGCAAGATGCTAAACCAGTAAGTACACCTTTAGGTGTTCATTTCAGACTCTCCAAAGAACAGTCACCAAAGACGGAGGAAGAACGTGCACACATGGTGAAGGTGCCGTATGCCTCAGCAATTGGAAGTCTGATGTATGCCATGGTTTGTACCAGACCAGATATTGCTCAAGCAGTGGGAGCTGTTAGCAGGTACATGAATAATCCGGGCAAGGTACACTGGGAAGCAGTCAAATGGATCCTCATATATCTGTGGGGTACCACAAACAAAGCACTTTGTTTCAAAGGTGGAGATACGATACTGACAGGCTATGTAGATGCTGACTTAGCCGGAAATGTTGACATCAGAAGGAGCACTACAGGGTATGTCTATACTCTAGGAGGAACCGCAGTGAGTTGGGTTTCTCAACTACAGAAGATAGTTGCTCTCTCCACAACTGAAGCAGAATATGTCGCTGTTACGGAAGCTAGCAAGGAGATGGTTTGGCTCCAAAGTTTCTTGGAAGAGTTAGGCAAGAAACAAGATAACAATGTCTTGTATTGCGACAGTCAAAGTGCTATACATCTAGCAAAGAATCCGTCTTTTCATTCCAGGACAAAGCACATACAATTGCGATATCATTTTATCCGGTCTCTTTTGGAAGATGGGATTTTGAAACTTGAAAAGATCAGTGGAGCTCAAAATCCAGCAGACATGTTGACAAAGACGGTGACTACAGACAAACTGAAGTTGTGTTCAACTTCAGTTGGCATGCTAAAGTAACAAGACTAGAAAAGTTGTTGCATTGATCGAGGTGTGAAGACATATTAAAATCAGTCTTCAAGTGGGAGATTGTTGAAAGTATTAAAATGGTTTTCAAGTTTGGTAACCAACTTTGAAAAAATGGTTTTCAAAGTTTGGTAAATGTTTCTTTGAAAATGGTTTTCAAAGTTTGGTAAATGTTTCTTTGAAAATAGTTTTTCAAAGTTTGGTAGATGTTTGTTGAAAAATGATAATGGTATAATCACAATTAATACCTAGGCTTTAGGGTATTTACAAGATTAAGTCCTTAAGTTTCAACTATAAATACCCTAGCTCATTTAGCTTCAAAACTATTCCAAAAATCATTTCTTTCTCCCAATACTAGAGAGCTTTGTTGACGAAAACGGGTAAAGAAAACGAAAGAACACGAGAATTTTACGAGGTTCGGCAATGTGCTTACGTCCTCGGTGCCTAGGCGGCGCTAGAATTTTATTCAATGATATTTTAGGTCTAGGTTACATCTCTATTTATAATAGAAAACCCTGGTACATAATTACAAAATCAACCCTGTACCGTACCGCGGGGGCTGCGCCCCCACACCCCCAACCCACATAATTCGTAAACCCACAACGAGACTTTTTATGAGCCATACATAACAAATCTCCACCTTGGCGAATATCCTGCCCCTTGGAAACTTCAATGTGGGTTGGGTTACCTTGCTTCTTTAACAACTCGAAACATTCAACAAGTCCAAGCAATGCTTGAACTTGTCTGTCGTAACTGGCTTGGTGAACATATCAGCGGCATTCTCATCAGTATGTACCTTCTGAAACAAAACCTCTTCAGATGCAACCAACTCTCTGATCTTGTGGAACCTTACATCAATATGTTTAGTTCTAGCACGATACACCTGATTCTTAGCCAAGTGAATAGCACTTTGATTATCACAAAGCAACTGAACTCCACCTTGTTGAACACCCAACTCCTTCACTAAACCAGTAAGCCATAAAGCTTCTTTTGCAGCTTCAGCCGCTGCCATGTATTCAGCTTCAGTTGTAGATAGTGCCACGACAGATTGAACAGTAGACTTCCAGCAAATAGGCCCTCCACCAAGAGTAAACACATACCCTGTCGTAGATCTTCTATTATCCAAGTCACCTGCATAATCTGAATCCACATATC